CAGAAACACTTCCCACCAGCAAACGATCTCCCTTCTCTAGGCTTCTTATCATAAGCACCCTTGAACTTCCCTTTATCAATAGGAACACTGTAAGGAGTACCACCAAACCTTTGCTTACCCTTACAGTCATTAGCAGCTTTGTAATGCGCAATCCTTGCCCTGTTGTCATTGTCATAAATTCTGCTTCGGCTTATCAGCTCAGGATAATCCCTGATCTTCTGACAAGCTATTCCCATCTTGACTTCAGGACGCAGCCCATTCTCGAACTTCAAACACTTAGAGGTCATCGCTCCATCAGTATTGTAATAGGGACAATACTGCACTAGCTCCTCAAACTTAGCTGCATATTCTACCACGGTCATATTGCCCTGCTTCAGCTATAGAAATTCTATCTCTTTAGCACTTCTAATATCCTCTGGAAAATACTTCTCTAGAAAACCAGTCCGAACAACATCCCAAGTAATTGGAGTTCCAGTAGTCTCCAACCTCTGGCGACTGTTGTCCCACCAAGCTTCAGCTTCTCCCTCTAACATGTGAGTACCGAACCTCACCTTCTGCTCATCACTGCAACCCATCGTCCTGAAGATCTTCTCAATCGCCTTAAGCCACTTCTGTGCCGCTTCAGGGTCCAAAATTCCTCCTTGAAACGTCGGCGGCTTGTTACTTTGAAACTGCGCCAAATCTTTGAATTGCGCACCCGCAACATGGTTCTGATTAGCAACCACATGCGCCATCGCTTGCATGGCTGCAGCCAACACAACATCATTCCTCCCCACCATACTGCTCAACAACAACAACGCCAGGTTAACAGAAAAACAAACCAACTATATCCTACAGACAGACTCAATTACTACACTGGCCGGACGGACCGACCTGCTCTGATACCAGATTGTAACACCCTGTTTCCCAAAATACAACTAGATGCAATTAAAGTAAACGAATATCAGAGTTGCTACACACACAACGGGATGCCACATAAATAAACATCAACAAAACATATTCATTAACGAATTTTCGATAATTAAACAGCGGAAATATATAAATATATTCACATCATATACATAAACGTCATATTCATCATGTACAACCAACGCCCAAAATATACAAGATACATCCATCACAACGGGTCCAACAAAACATGATACGCCACAGGGGCACACAAAATCATCAAATAAATAGTAAACTCCCAAAAAGCCCCGGTGTTACATATCAGAGCATCCCTACGACTCGACTCGCCATAATCCAAGCTAGCTACACACTGGGTTATTTGTACTTCCGAAGAAGCATATACCACAACAAAAGCAAGGGGTGAGAAATCACGATCAAAATATAACGGTAAATACGTACATGAATAAAAGGCAGTAACACACAATCATTAATTCACACACATCAACCCGGACCTGCTGTCTCATGCCAACACAACATATACAACAATGTAACACATGCAACACATGCAACTCAACCCATGATATGCAGTACCGACTCAACAACACCGATGGACACCTGGCCATCAACCCTCCACCAAGGAGCACAAACAATCAAGCTCAGGATAGATCACATACACTCCACCGAGCAACGATCTATCCCTACCATGCTCCCCCGAGCACAAATGATGGGCACCTGACCATCAACCCTCCACGCAGGAGCACATCATAATCAAACTCAGGATAGATTGCATACACTCCATCCGAGCAACGATCTATCCCTACCATGCTCTCCCTGAGCACATAAACATGCATCATGACATGCATACACCAATGCACACAGCAAACACAAGCACACACCGTGCATACGATCCTCTGATCACATTTTATACATCATACATGTTTCACACGTCACCACATTCATACATCATACATATATGATACACACTAATTCAAATATTTATAATTACACAATTATCATGGAAATCCCGTTCCAATATCACACCTACACTCTCCACAGACCAAACTCAAGCTCACTCTCAAGCATGACCAGCAAGGGTCCCAAACCACAAGAAAACAGAACAGGACAACATAAAAACACAAAAATACTGTCATGCTCGCTGGCTCTCTCACCTAGCGAAGCATCAGCGAATGCTCGCTACACGCTCGCTCGACGAGCACCCTAACGAAGCCAACCAGAGGAATTCTGGAAGCACTCGCTACCTCGTTTGCTCAGTGAACCCTTGGCGAAGGTTCGCTACCAACTCGCTTAGCGAAGCAGCTGGCGAGCGTCTGCAAATTCTCAACAATTCTGCTGCTCAGAGTCGGCGAAACTCTCCGAACTCGCCCGATTCTCCTCAACTCAGTTCCCACAATATCAGAACAACATGCAACAATTTAATTACAGAGTCTCCTCTCGATTTCACCCGATAAACTCTCGGCTATACCAAAATAATCACTTCCGGCTTAAAACTTTGAACTACCCGAAACCCCTAAATCACCCAGACAATCACACTTCATCACATGCAATAGAATCAACACACTATCAGTAACTCAGAATCAAACATTCACACCACATCATCATCAAAACCTAATGGGGTTAGGGAAATCCCCTCCTACCTAATATTCATGCAACTACCGAAATTGACCTGATTTTCCCCCCTTACCTCGATAACTCGTTCGAATGCTAAAAACTCTTGCTCTGATGATGATCTGAGCTTCTTCTTGCTCCAATTCCTCTAGTTCTTCTTCCTCAATTTTCCCCTTCTCTTGACCGCGTTTCTTCTCTTCTCACAAACGTGTTTTCCTTCTATTCCTTTTTCCCAAATTCCTAAACAGCCCTTAATACCCCTTAATTCCAATTATTTCAATACTTTTATTCCATTTACTAATAATAATATCAATAATAATAATATTAATAATAATAACATTAATAATATTACCATTATTCAATAATTTATCATCATCATTAATAATTTATTATTAATCTTAAAGTCCAAAATTATCAATTAATTCCAACTTAAGGGCTACACACGGTCGCACTTAAACACTCCCACAAACACGCCGAAAAACAAAATAACACAGAAACACAAATTAATTAAAATGAGCGTTACACCATCAACAATGTTCCTTTGTATTTTCCATACAACCATGTTCCATCAACTTGAATAACCGGTTTGCAGAACCCAAAACCTTTGATACATTGTTGAAATGCCCAAAAGAGACGAGAGAATATCCTACTTCCATCAACACATGTTCCTTCAAGAGTGTATGCTGGTAGTGACTCCAATATTACAACCGTACCAGGAACATATTTTTGAAGTGCTAGTAAATACTATGGAAGTTGATTGTAAGATTTTTCCTAATTCCCATATACATGTTCAACCGCTTTTATTTTTCCAATCCAAGCTTTCCTGTACGATGGGGTATAGTTGAACCGTGCAACAACATGAGAGATAATCGTGCTCACATTCACAGATGGATATATGCCCACAAGATGCAAGATATTCCATGTCCGCCAAAATGCATCCCCGACAAGTTTCACACCGGTAAAGTCTCCGACCAATGGGAATATACTCCATGGACCAAGTATGCAAAACACGAGTGTCGTGAATGGAAGCAACGCCGCCATTTTGTTTTGTCCGACACTGTGTTTCCATACGAGAGAAAACAGTCTATCCAATACATGAATTGGTATAGGTCGGTATCCATTGGTTTCATTTCGCATCCAAGATATCTGGTTGACCCACGCCAACATGCCTCATCATCAAGACCCCAACAACCTACCCAACCTCATTTCCAACCGCCAACCGAACCCCATTTCCAACCGTCAATCCAACCCCATTTCCAACCGCCACAACCGCCAACCCAACCCCCACTCACACAACCACAACTCCATGAACACACCCCTTACCAATCCACCCCATTCACACAAACTTATTCACAGTCCGAATACCAACAATATCCACCACCATACCAAACATACTATATGGATACTACAAATCAATTTAACACCCAGTTTCAAACATCCAATCAACCCTTACCCACCCAAATATTTACACTCATGTCACCATACGACCAGGCAGGCTATCATCTTGACATTGCCTCATCTAGCCAACCACTTCAACATAATTATGAAGGCATGGACAACCCTTTTAATTTGGATGAATTTACCGAGATTGACTCGTCTACATGGGCCGAAGTGATCCAATTTCTTGAAGACGACACAGTGGACCCGACTCCACCACAAAGACCACCAAGAAACATACGTAATCGAGGATGCAGTACAGGCAGACATTTACACCGACCTAGTCGTTGAAATTAGTGTATCATATCTCTCATATGTACCCATTTGTTATTAAATGAAAATATTAATTATTTTTTAATTTATTATTTATTAAATACAATTTAATTTTTATTTGTTATTTAGAAATTATTAATGAAAATATTAATTATTATTTAACTATTAATTATTAATAAATATTAATATTATTTAGAAATTATTAATAAAAATATTAATTATTATTTAACTATTAATTGTTAATAAATATTTATGTTATTTATAAATTATTAATGAAAATATTAATTATTATTTATTTATTAATTATTAATAAATATTAATATTATTTATAAAATTATTAAAACAAATTAATTAAACATATTAAATATTAAAAATTAATTAAAAAAATCGTAAAATTAAAGGATGTCTTCAAAGAGGATAGCGCCCTCCTAATAAATTAAATGATGCCTTCAAAGGGGATAGCGCCCTCCTATAATTTATAAGGGTGCTTCTAATCAGGATGTCGCCCCTATACAAATAAAAACTAAAAAAACCTAAAATTAGGGTAAATTGAAAAATATGTTGAAATATTGGATGTATTGGATTTTAAGGGATGACACGTTTGTTATTTTGGTAAAAAGATTCATATATATCCATTAAATTTTAATTTTATAAGTAGACATAATTTGTTTCCACCCACGTAACAACAAAATAAGACTCGACCAGTTGAAACCCTCGCCTGTTAAACTTAAACCTCGTAGAACAAACACCAAATCTCGTTCCACCGCCGTCCAACCATGGGGTTCTTCGACCTCAACATACCCTACCCAGAAACCTCCACGAAATCCGAAAAATCCACCGTCGAAAACAACCGAACAAGACTCGCCGTGAAAGCCATGGAACTAGGTTACACCGGAATCGCTTACAACCGCACAATGAAAGGCGTAATGTCCGATAAACACCGTTGCTCAATCTCCCCACTCTCTCTCACTACTCTCCTCAACATCGTTCCCTTTCTCTCCTCGTCGGCAAAGCTTCACCGTGACCTCCTCGGTGTTCAATCTTCCACTCCGTTTCGGCAGTACACGCGTCTAACGGTTTGTGTTGAGAATCCATTGCAGGGTAATGCACTTAATGATGGGAACCCGATTTTGAAAACATACGATTTGGTTGCTGTTAAGCCTTTGAATCAAACTGCTTTTGATATCGCATGCGAGAGAATGGCGGTTAGTAGTGAGAATTGTAGGTTCAGTTTGAATATTTAATAGGATCATAAGTTTATATGATGATGTTTTGAAAATTGATTAATGTTGTTGCAGGTAGATATCATTTCGATTGATTTTTCGGCTAAGTTGCCATTTAGGTTGAAGCAGTCTATGGTTAAAATGGCTACGCAGCGTGGTGTTGTTTTCGAAGTTTCATACTCTGGTCTTATCACCGATGTACAGTTAAGGAGACAGTTGATTTCGGGTGCCAAGGTAATAGCTGCTTCTCTGTATAAGCTTACAAACAAATGAGTTCGCATTGAAGATTTTTTAGTCCTTGATGGATTTTTTGTTTTTGTTAGAAGTTTGAGTGTATACTCGACTGTAAGTTGTTTGTTACATCGTAGAACAAATAGTCATTGAATGAAAACATGATTGAGAAAACCATCTAACACGGAATCTTTAATATGAATTTCATAGTATGTATAGTTAGGAATCTTTATATCCTAAAATAAATAGGTAGTTGGAGTAAACCATCTAACACGGAATTCATAACAGAACATAACTCATTTTATGGTGTGTCACACTCTATATGAGGCCTAACGAAAATACATCAACCCTTGTACTTGCCAACATTGTGACCCTACTTAACATATTCGAGTTCATATTAAATTTCATTACTTATTTTGAATTCATATTAAATTGCATACACATGCATACTTATATTTAGTTCCGCCAGAGCCCCGTGCGTGTTATTATCTAGTTATTAAGACATTTACAATCTTGCTTGCTGATTAAACATGTAGCTGTTGATTGACTGGACTCGGGGACGAGACATTATATTTTCAAGTGCTGCTCCTTCAGTGAATGAACTTAGAGGGCCTTGTGATGTTGCAAACTTGTTGTTACTATTTGGGCTCTCCAAGCAGGAAGCTAAAGCATCTATATCTAACAACTGTAGGTAATAATTTGCTCAAATCCTTTATAACGTTTGGTTCTACGGACCGATGTATAATATAACATGTCATGAATATCATTTTGAATGGCTTGCAGGATTCTCTTAGCCAATGCTCTAAGGAGAAAGCGATTTCACAAAGAGGCAATACGAGTAGAAGTTTTATCATCCGACTTAGCATCTCATTCTAAGGAATCTCGACATCAAGAGTTACTAAAGTGGGATCCTCTCTCCAGTGGCGAAGGTGATATCCTGTTGGATGACATGGAAAATTCTCGTTCAATCTCGTCTAAAGCACCCAAGACTGCAAAAGCCATTGACTTTGTTTCAGTACTAGATAGCCTTCCGTCTCAAGGTTATCAAGTCCAGGATTTCATACCTGCAGATGATTCTTTCTCGCTCTTCTCAACTAATAAGGTAAACTTTGCGTCCGTTGCCGAAAATGTAAATCGGTCAACACACAGGCTTGATGTTTGTCCCAATCAAGACCAGAGCTCATCGCAGAATGATATAACAAAACATCACATTGTGAGATTTGGCAATATTTTTGAGAAAAATATACACAGTGGAACTACTGATGCTTTTCATTCTGAAGTGATAGAGACCGAGACAAATGGCGCAAAGTTGGAACTACAAAATTCTGTTGATTCAGATGTACAGATGGATGACATGGAAAAATCATTTATAACCCCTTGTAAAGCATCAACAGTAGCAAAAACCACCGTCGACAGCTATAATAATGGAAATTTATTTCCAGTTGCTGAAAATGTTGATCAGTCAAAACCTGTACCTAACAACTCAACCGAGCAGCCCGACAGGCTCAAGGTTTCTCCCGAGCAAGATGGAAGGTCATTATTTGACACTGTAAAAACACATCACAATGTAGGCTGTGATGATGTTTTTGAGAAAAATATACATAACAAAACTATTGAAGTCTTCAATTCCAAGGTAGAGATTGACACTCAGACAAATGGCACAAATCACTCGATTCAGAAGTTTATCGATTCAGACGTTGATTGCGCCCCATTTGAAGCAAAAGTACGTGATTCACAGTCAGATTTGTGCATCTCAAGTAATTTGTTGGGTACCGTAAAACCACACGAGAATGAGAAACTAATCATATCTCTATATGATCCTAACAATATCGACGAGAAATTAGAAGTTTTTACTCCAGCCATAGGAATCAATTTTCCGTCTCCGGTTCATGAAAAAGAGAATGAAAATAACACCGACGTCAATTTAAATGCACATTTTGCAACAGTGAGTGAAAATTTGCCAAAGGAAGATTTTAAAGCTGCAAAGCATGCAGTTCTGGATAGTAACACATCTACTTCTGATGCAGTTGAAGTTGACGAGATGATGAACATGGATGTTCCGTTCGATTCAGGTCTGCCACCTTATACTAATATCTTCAATCCCTTCCATCGCAGTAAATAACATATAGGGTAGATAACTTGATTGCACTTTACTTCATAATTTCCATTAGTATAATTGTGTGCTTTGCATTATATCCAGGTCGATCGCGTGTGAAGCGAAGGACACATCCACTGCAAAGGACACCTCCACTTTCATTTCCCTTGAAGCGATTGTTGAATGCAGTGCCTTTTAAGAAGAGATGTAAAAAACACAAGAGGAGAACTAATCCAAAATAAGTAGAGTTTTTCTTTCGAGGTGAGCTTATTATTCTCCGTCACGTCTATCAATTTTTTTATTCGGGTTTTCTTCAACCCCGAAAACTCGATGAATTTCGAGTCCTAAATTAGTGAAACACGCTCAAACAGAGTGACTGTAAGGTAATCTATCTTGGATGATAGCAGCAGAATAGTGATAGCAGAGAATGACTAAATTTTTTTTTATATATGTTGAATAATTTATATTTCAGATTTTTTCTGAGCTAAAATGTATCTTATTTAAAAGTATTATTTTAAAATGAAATTTACTGTATTATTACCGATTCGTAAAAATTCGTAAAAATGCACCATTGATAACTCTAGTGAATTGTGAATGAATCTTTTTTCTTGCGCGCTCCTCCTTAAAACCGTTAGAGGTAGGGGTGGACAACGGGATCGGGTTTGGGCCTCAAACCCAGAACCGAACCAACTCACGGGTGTGTAGTCTAGGCCCAATTTTCGACAGTTTGGGATATCGGTTTAAATCGGACGGATTTCTATTTTGGTTTTATTCGGTTATGAATGAATTTGGGCCCTATCATCCTTTAAGTCCAAGTTTAAAATCAAACTATTTTTTTATTTTAATTTTTTTTGCAGATTTCAAAAATTACTGGGCCAGTTTAAATTATGGCCCAACTTAAATAATTGATCTTTTTAAATCCATTTTAAAATTTGGAAATTGAATTATTTTAACACTATTTTTAATTAAAAAGTAAATTTATCTAAATTCTTCTTGTTATTAAAAATGGCACGACTACCATCAACCAAAAAAAATTGGCCAGTTACAAAATAATTCTTTATTTAAACTATTAAAATTAAAACATTAAAATATAAAGTAAATTAAATCATTCATACACAAACATGCTCAAACACTCAATAGCATAATTACAAAGTCACACTAAGGAAGTCCATCTTCAAAATAAAAAATTAAAAGTGTAAACAAATTGAATTCAATTGCAAAATCAACTCATGAACTAAAATAAAATTCCATATTCAAACTTCCAAATTCAGTATTCACAAGTTCACAAATTCACAAAGTTTCAAATTAACATTCACAGAGTTCCAAATTAATATTCCCAGCTCACATTATTAGCTCACGTTATGTATAAATTTTTTCACAATTCCAATATGATATATTTCAATTAATATTAGTAAAAACAAATTTTTATAAAAGAAAACAACTATGTTTTTAGAGGTAATGGGAATACCAACAGAGTTCCTTGACTTTGGGTTTTTAAAGTTGTGTAATCTCAGACTAAAGTTAAGATAAAAGAATCAAAGCTTAATGTAAAAATATTAATAGAATCAAAGCTTAATGTAAAAATATTTACAGACTAAAGTTGAGATAAAAGAATCAAAGCTTAATGTAAAAACATTAACAAACATTACCTTAAAAGAAGAATCACCCTTCATTTCATCCCTTAGTTGAATTTTGAAATTAAAACACAGCCAAAATTAAGACATATTTAAATTTATCTTAAAGTTCACAAAACCAAAATTAAAACAGATTTAAATTTATAAGTTTACAAAATTAAAATCAAATAGATCTAAATTTATAAGTTCAGAAAACCAAAATCAAAACAGATCTAAATTTATAAGTTCACAAAACCAAAATCAAACAAATCTAAATTTGTAAGTTCACAAAACCAAAATCAAAACATATCTAAATTTATCTTAAAGTTCACAAAATCAAAATCAAAACAAACCTAAATTTATCTTAAAACTTACCGAACCAAATGTAGAATCAATTTTTTTAAGACACAAATAATACAGATCAAAAAACCTCTAACCCTAGATCTCTTTTAGAGACACAATTAACTAAAACCTAAATAACAACCCTCAAAAAATTTAAAATCAACAAAAATGAATCTTTTGTAAGAATTCATTTCATTAGAGTGATAGAACCACCTCTTTTAGCTTCAAATCAGTTCAACGTCTGAAAATAAACAATTTATGAATGTAAGATTAATATGAGAAAGACTATGAAGGAAGACATGTAGTGCAGTGATGATAAAAGAAGGAGATAAAGGTGAAACAACGCATAGTGAACAAAGATTGACACGACGAAGAAGAAGAAGGAATAGGAACACAACTAGAGAAGAATGAATAAGAATACAAGTGAGAGAGTGAACTTAGGTTTTTTTTTTTTTTTTAAATCTATTGCGAAAATAGTGAAAGAATAGTAATAGTTGTAATATATTAATTGGACTCGGTCGGGTTCAGTGACCGACGAGCCCAATATTTCCATTCGAACTGAACCGAAGTAGTCCATGTTAAAGCGAAACAATCACCCGCCTGAACCGTTAACCCGATATAAACCGATCCGGTGCCCAATTGGAATCGGTCCGGTCGGATAACCTCGGTTGGTTTTATCTTGTCTAGCCCTAATTAGAGGCCATTTAATATGATTGATCTTGATTCGATTGCTATAACCTCTTAATGGTGATTGAGAATCATACTCGATTGTCTCAAATCTTTGATTATGACATCCTTCCATTAGTCATACACGCGCCCTCAATCATATCTTAGTCATATCTTGTCTTGTACTAATCTAGCCAATTAGCTATTTTAGCCCAACCACGCTATTCTGGGCGAGTCATTTAATGGGTGTGAGTTCCATTGAATTTGGGTTCTCTTTTAGGACCTGACCCCAAAAAATCGGACATATATACAATTCCTCAAACATGAGTTGTGTAAGAGTGAAATGTTTTTCTGAGTCCTAAAAAAACTGACAGCCTCTCAAACATGAACGATATAATTTTTTTTAATAAAAAAGAGTCGTGTAAGGGTAAAAGTGTTTTTCTAAGTCCAACCAAGAAACCATACCTATAAACAACCTCTTGAGCATGAGTTGTGCAAGGGTAAAAAGGTTTTTTAAGTTCAACTAAGAAATATACGAACCCTTCAAAAATGAACTATGTAATGGCGAAGTGGTTTTTTAAGTTCAACCAAAAAATTGAACATGTAAACATAGGACTGCTTATGGTACAGTTCGGTGAGAAAGTCGAACCGAACCAAAAACCAATGAGCCTCTGCCTCAGTCTAGCACTCAAGGAGGGCCCTTGTATTGATGCACATGGTTTCAGTTAGAATCTCCCTGTCGGAGTCGCAGATGTACTGCCCATATGGGGTCACGCACTTACGAGGGGGAAGACGCCCGACGAAGTTGACCAATTTCTTAAAAGCCAAGCTATCCTCCTGGCCAGGCGGTTAGGTCGGTAGATAAAACTCTCTGTACTAGAGCAGAAGTGCAACTCTATCCACTCTAAGGGGAAATGGGACTCAAAGCTCTCCACGGACTCGTTGTCCACGACAGTAACCTCTCTCCGGAACATTGTATTGTAGGCCTCGTCCATCTCCGGCATAACCATGAACCACCTATCTTTGAACCCTCGAACAAAGTCTGTGTATGTCCGTAAGAGTCTGGTCAGCTGCTTCAGGGAGACCCAGTTATGTCGGTCAACCACAGTCTGCCGCTGCAAGTGAAAGACACAGAAGAACAACGGTATGGTGGCCCCGAGCTCGAGGTAATTGCAAACAATCTCGAATGCCCGAAGAAAAGCGAGGGAGTTAGGGTGAAGTTGAGACGGCGCCAACATTAAGTGGTCGAACATGCCCTGTTGAAAGCCTATGAACGACATACGCATCCCCGCCTCCTTGAAAGAAAATTCGTACATAGGGAACCGACCCCCGACGTAGCGAGAGCATATACAGTATAGTTCCCGAGGACGACATGCTCGAAACTAACGAGGAGCCCCGACCTCCCTATCTTCCATTATGACAAAAACATCTGAATCATCGAGCACGAACCGCGACATATAATTGAGGGGTTCGTCCCCGGCCCAGGCCCCGACTGGCCTGTCCGGAGGGTCCACGACAACCTCATATTGGTGACCCTTCTCGTCCTCGGACAGATACAACCTCGTTTCCTCCTCTTCGGGGGCAGCCATTTTACCTAAAAAGTAGAAGAATTTGATGAATTCGACAGCCAAATCAAATCCACCCTTCCACCGCAGTTCAAGTGAAAGGGCGTGGACGCCTAGAAGACCATTTTGGGGTAACTCGACCCTCCAATGTTCCAGGGGATTACAATATTTTATCCTCGGTGCCCTCATCAATCGTGTCCGAGGTATTCATCGACTACCCTCGGGACATTCAATGTTCATAGATCCTCCCCGGGCCGCTCATCGCTCGGGCCGGAAACAGTTAGTCTAAACCTTAGTTTTGAAGGACTCTCCGATGTATTCGCTGGAAAATACCACGATCACCCCGACGTCCCCAGCGGAACCACCGCCGGAAGTACTAAAAAATACCAGTATGGAGGCAGAGACTTACGTGATACGGCGGAAAAAAACGGTCGCGTCAAGCAGAAAGAGTGTAGGCGTCGAGCAGATAATTCAGAAGATCGAACAACAAAAAAAGGACCGAGTGAACGAAAAGACGAGCTGGGCCTATGTATATATACGCTCTAGCACGAAAAATGAAGCGTCACTAGGCACTCAAGTGCCTAGCCCGTAGCCTCCGTAGGGTGACACGTGGTGACCCTCAACCTTCCCTATGTCTCTTCAGATTCCCCTCCTCGACCGCGGGTTTCCCCTACATCATAGGCTCACCCGACCAGTAAAGTTGCGGCCTGCCCGACATAACAACATGCTCGACACTTTTTGCATTTTAAGTCATAGCTCGCTCAACCGCGAGCAAAGACTTAAAGGACTACTATTCTAGACTGGGCCGACGCTTGGCCCATAGTCGAGCAGACTCAAATCCCACCAGGTTGGAAGGCCCAATAAGACCTCATCATCGGGCAGAGACCTGTCGGACAAAACACCTTCTCCCGCCGGGCACGAACCAACGACCGTCGGGGATGATCCTTATATTTGCCCAGTTTGCCTCTCTTCTGTCCACATCGGGCAGAACTCATCCAGCTCGGGAAGCTCCTCTGACCTCCCCCACATTCTCTATGTGTCCCCTACGCGGAGACACGTCATCAGGTAACTATTTGTGTCCTGATTATTCGGTCTTCCACCTCCTGGATAGCACAGAACAATTACACTAGGGCGAAGACCACGTGCTGGTGTTCACGATGCCACGTCAGCCCTAGCAGTTACTAGCGTTGGGCCTGGCAACCCAGCCCAACGCATAGTAACTGTTAGCCCTGCGCTGAGGGCTCATTATAAATACTCTCTTCCGCTAGAGGATCAGGTAATCTAACTCTTACTTCTTTCTCTCTGTACTTGTTATCACTCTGCTCGTCCCTTACTTTGGCATCAGAGTGCGTTTCAAGTACACCCCCTCTCTGTCATTCAAGTCAACTGTTCGACAACTCAGACGCGTAGCCGACCAATGATCTCTCTGATCAGGTACGATCACATATCATACCATGATTAATACTTTGTATATCCACTAAATTAAACACCTAATCTATCTATTGTCATGAATCTAAGGTTATGTTCATAATGCCAAAAACACACACATGAACAACAACTCAATCAATTAGCACATACAAAGGCATATAAATATAATAATAAAATAATGCACGAATTTCATGTTGTTCACAACAATTATAATATGTTTTACACAAACATTTCCAAAAGAACACATAAACATCAACAATGGTGAAAGTAGAAGAAAACCTATAGGAGGGTAAGGAACCCTCTTTACCCTTCATGCATTTGACACCATTATTAGAGTAATCCCCCTTACCTTAATTTACAGCAACAAGTTTCCAACTTTGGTTATGTTTTCTTCTTCCTAGAGCTTCCCTTAGGGTTCTTAGCCACTTTCCTCTTTTTTCACTTTGATCAAATTTTACATATCAGATAAAAGTTCTAATCCATCACAATGTTCCCTCAACACATGGGCTCTTACTCTTTACCACTCCAATTTCACTAAAATTCTAATTCCACCCCATAATTCACTATTTCTCTTCTTTTATTATTTTTTAATTAAATAAAATCTACTAACTCCCAATAAAACTCAATAAAATATCACATAAATCATATAAAGCATTTTAATCACAAAAAAATAAAAATAAAAAGCAATAAAAATTAAATTAAATTAATTAATTGAATTCGGGGCGTTACAACTCTCCTCTACTTAAAGATTTTTGCCTTAGAAAACTAACTAAACGAAACAACTATAGATAAGACTCTCTCATCCGGCTCTCCAGCTCCCACGTCATGTTTCCTCCAGTAGGTCCTCCCCACATTACCTTCACCAACACGATCTCTTTACCTTTCAAGTGTTTCACGTCTCGATGATCAATTCACAATGATGATGCCTCCTTATCTCTCACTTGCACATCATCCATTTGAATCACATGTGACGGATCAGAAACATACTTCCGAAGTTAAGACACATGAAACATGTTATGAAGATTCGAAAGAGACAGTGGTAAAACAACTTTGTAGGCCACTTCTCATACTTTCTTCAAAATCTGATAAGGACCAATGAAACGAGGTGTGAGCTTTTGCAATTTCAACGCACGACTAATACCAGTCTAGGGAGTGAGTCTCAAGAACAAATGATCTCTCTATCGGAATTCGTGCTTGCAAGCAACTGGAAGAAAAACGCAAAAACATAGGCAATAATCTTGAAGAAATTTGAACAAGGGTCGAGAATGATGAGCAAAGAATCTAAGAAAATTGGGGTTTTATGGAAAGAAATTTAAAACGATTTGGAAACCTCATCGAACTAGAGTCATGATGGCGATTGAATTCCTCATAAAGGTCATCATGACAAGGAGAGAGAGGAGATATGACAAGACAATCATCGTCATTACTTTTAAAAACCCACCATCACACCTTAGCAGATCACAAAGGGACCGTTGAGTTAAACCACACCGAAGAGAAGTATAAACCATTCAAAGAAGAAATAATTTTGGGACTCTCTGTCCGAGCACTTTATTTCTTAGACCCCGTGATGAGGGGGGCTTATGTACGCCAAAAAATTCTCAAAGTTGAGTTATAAGTCATTGGAGCCGAGCATGGGAAATTCGACATACCAGGTATTTGCAGAAAGTGACAAGTGTCGAGTTGCTACATATAAGACAAGTAGGAGCCCGAACTATACTTTTCTCGAAGACAAGTTTTCGCGCAATGTGTATAACCTGTGTAACAACTATAAGGTAGCTCTATGGTTGCTGGGGAGTTACAAAAAGCGATAAAGAATAGGTTACATAATAATGACGAGGACGACGAACATTATGATCATCATTTAATCATGAAACTTGATGAGACACTTCTTAAATGATATGAGGAAGATAAATGGGTATAAAAGGGCTCCCCATTGGAGACAAAAGGAAGAAAAAGTGATAAAGAACATCCAATTCCCATTGTGTTTGTGGTCTCACCTGAATCTGCTTCAGGTGATTATCCAAAAGTGTTTATCAGAAACATGATCTGATTGGTTCAACGAAGGGGATGGGGATGTGAGAGATTTTAATAAAGGGGAAAATATGTGAGGTGAGAGGATGCACTTTAATTAAATGTATGTTTGGTTCAAAGAGGGAGAGAGAATGAGAGGAATTTTAATAAAGGGGAGGGGGAGGGAATGAGAGAGATCTTAATAAAAGGGAGGGGAGGCAAAGAGATATACTTTAATTAAATGTATGTTTGGTTCAAAAGAAGCAGATGGAAGTGGAATGATTTTAATAAAGGGGAGAAGAAGTGAAGGGATGTACTTAAATTAAATGTATGTTTGGTTCAAAAGAAGGAAAGAGAAAGGGTAAATTAAATGTATGTTTGGTTCAAAAGAAGGAAAGAGAAAGGGTGAGAGAATTTTTAATCAAAATATGTTTGGTTCACAAAAGGAGATGAAGAGTTTTAAAACCATTTTATTTTTTTACCCTTAAAATATTATAACACTCGTGTTAAATAAAATAAAACAAAATAATATTCATAAAAAATATCAATTTATAAACAACATAGATAATCAAACACAAAATATTTAATATATTAAATACTCTAAAATGTATTAAAGTGTAAATAAAATATTAGTAAATGTCATAGAATAAATAATCTTCAAATGAATTGTAGATAATATATAATTCATATACTACAATTATATATCAATATCTAATACAATATAATAAATTATATAAAACTTTTTTTATCACAAACAAAATAAAAAAATAATGAAATAAAACACATTAAAAAAAAGAGAATCAAATTACCTCCACTCTCTTTTTTATAAAAAATTAAATCAAATATACTTTTCATGTTATTTTATCTTATTAACTAAAAAAATGACAAATTTCAGCAAGCACGTGAGAACGTCGGAAAGCATGTTCAGTTAATACATTCGTGTGTTTCACTTTTAAAACTTTCTTAAGAAATAGCAGTGCTGTTAAATTAACAATCCCTAAGTACCCAGATCCATTTTCTTCTCCATCAAAAGTAAATCAATATCAGAAAAAAGTCTCGAATTTCTTCTTTTTCTGCGTTTCTATTTAATTTTATTTTTCTAAAAGATAAATGCCTTTCCATTGATTCTGTCGCTAAATATCTTTTCTCATCTCCTTAACAACCATATATCAATTCAAACAAACACATCACTCTCACACTCACAACTTGTCCTACAAACTCTAGAGTAAACTTTTGATTTCCCTTACTATTTATCTCCACACATTCTCATCAAAACACCGCCACTCTCCTCTCTCATCTCCAAAATGCCAAAGTTCAAAATCCCGGACCACCAAGTTGCCGGTCACCAAGCCAAAGCCGGAATCCTCGGCCCTCTAATAGACGATTCTGGAAAATTCTACAAACCTCTCCAAGACGACGGAAGAGGCTCCCACGAACTTGCTTTCTACACCTCCCTCTATTCCGATCCACGCATCCCCTCCAACATTCTCAACCTCTTCCCTAATTTCCACGGCACTCAAGTCGTCGAAGCCTCCGATGGCTCCGGTCTTCACCCCCACCTCGTCATGGAAGATATCGCCGGAAATTTCACCAACCCCGCCGTGGTAGACTTCAAGATCGGTTCTCGAACATGGCATCCACAATCCTCCGAAGATTACATTAGCAAATGCCTTAAGAAAGATCGGGAATCCTCATCTATCAAATTAGGCTTTAGAATCTCTGGTTTGAGATCTGTGTCTCCGAGTAATCAATTATGGCAGCCTCAGAGAAAGTTTCTTATGGATCTATCTGCTGAGGATGTGATATTGATGATGAGGAAATTTGTTTCGTCTGACGGTAATGCTGATGAGCCTGATTGTGTTTTTGGTTCTAGGGTTTATGTTCATGTTTTGGAGGAATTGTTGGTGCTTAAGAAATGGTTTGAAGTTCAAACTATTTTTCATTTTTATTCTTGTTCTGTTCTTGTGGTTTATGAGAAAGATGAAAAAGATGAGAAGAAAAGTGCGCGAGCTGTTGTTAAGCTTGTTGATTTTGCTCATGTGGTTGATGCTAAAGGTGCTATTGATCATAATTTCTTAGGGGGTCTGTGTTCTTTGATTAAGTTTGTTAAAGATGTTTTGGCTGGTTTAGGTGATGATGAAATCTCAAACCCTAAGCCTTAAATGTAATTGTAAAATTCAGTGTTTTATCTCAGCGGAATGGTTTTCGTAGAGCAGATTGATTGATTTGGATCATGTTGTAATCGACTATAATTTGAATCAGAGGTTTGGTCATGTTCTTTGATTAATAAGATGACTGGTTCTATATTTAAATGATGCTTTAGTTTCAATTTGGATTACTTTTGAGTATTTTAATTTGAAGGTAGTAAAATGATACAGATGAGGAAAGTTGACTGCATCAAACCTATTAACAAACCTTCACAAATTAGTATCTCGGTGTTATTTATATTCTTTATTCTTTTTAGCCACCATGTAAAATTATTTAGATGTCTATAATTTTTGAATATGCATCTTCGGACGTATCAGATTTTAAATGAACGTTGAAATATTTTAGAGATGTATTTTCGTAACATAAGCCATTATACAATTGAATTGGTCTGGAGATGCATCTCTGTGAATATTTTGGAAATTCATTTCTGTAATGTATTAGAATTTGGTCGTTCATGTTATATTTTGTTTAAATGTATTCAGATGAAGATTTAAACTATATCCTACAACTGAAAATAAAAAATCTACGTACATAATTTTAGATGGTCCAAAAATATCATATATAAGTAAAATACAAATAAATATAGAAAATGTCATACAATCGAGATCAATCCAGTAGCATGATGTTAAAATAAAATACAGACTATAGTACTACTACTATATACTAAGACACTATTGTGTATGTCTGACTACCTCTCCTCTACCTCCTCTGTCCCGTCTACCTCTTCGACTATCAATCCCCCCTGTCTTCCGGTGATGTCTCCGGTACAACAATGCCCCTTATGCCTTTGTCATGATGGTATCTAGGACATGCCTCACATCAGACCCATCGGGGAAGATACCGACGTCAATGCCTGCCGGTGCAATCTCTACTATGCAACGACATCTAGGCAAAACATCCTCAACATGATCTAACCGTGTCTGCTCCTACGCTAGTTTCTTTTGATGAACTGGTCTCGACGGATCTCCTGCAATAACATGCACAATGTACGAATGTGACGTTAAAAGTGCGTGCGTTCCTTAACAGACACATAAATGAAGAAGTCTATGTTGCACAACCTCCAGGTTTTGAGTCTCATGAGTATCCTGATCATGTCTACAAACTAAAAAGGGCTTTATATGGACTCAAACAAGCTCCTAAAGCTTGGTATGAGCGACTAAGTAAATTTTTACTTGATCAAGGTTACTCAAGAGGAAAGGTTGACACTACTCTCTTCATTAAACGTCAAGGAAAGCACTTGATACTTGTACAAATTTATGTTGACGATATTATATTTGGATCTACTAACATGAATCTCGTGAGAGAGTTTTCTGACCTTATGTAGGGTGAATTCAAGATGAATATGATGGGTGAACTCACATACTTTCTCGGATTGCAAATTAAACAACTTAAAGAAGGAACATTCGTGAGTCAAACAAAATACTGTTTGGAACTTCTCAAGAGATTTGACATGGCAAACTCGAAGGCCATTGACACTCCTATGCCAACATGTGTAAACCTGAATAAAGATGAAAGCGGTAAGGACGTAGAGGTAAAAAGGTATAGAGGTATGATTGATTATCTTCTCTATCTTACTGCTTCTCGACCCGACATTATGTTTAGCGTGTGCATGTGCGCAAGATACCAATCATGTCCCAAGGAATCTCATCTAAAAGCTGTCAAACGTATACTTCGATACCTATATGGTACTCCGAAGTATGGACTATGGTAGTCCAAAGGTAATGATTGCTCATTGGTAGGTTTCTCTGATTCCGATTTTGCCGGTTGCAAATCGGATAGGAAAAGCACTAGTGGTACTTGTCATTTATTTTCAAACTCCTTGGTCAGTTGGCACAGCAAGAAACAAGTTTCAGTTGCTTTGTCAACCGCCGAAGCGGAATACGTTGCCGCCGGTAGTTGTTGCGCTCAAGTCCTATGGCTTAAGCAACAATTATTGGATTTTAACCTAAAACTAGATCGTATTCCCATTTTCTATGACAATACAAGTGCTATTAATCTCACCAAAAATCCCGTGTTACATTCTCGCACCAAACATATCGAAATTCGACACCATTTTCTTAGGGATCATGTAGAGAAAGGTGATGTTGTTTTTGAACACGTTGACACCAAAAATCAACTAACGGACATTTTCACAAAGCTGCTAGCCACTGAACCTTTCTTTCATATCCGCCGAGAACTTGTCATTCTCGACATTTCGGATTGGGTGTAATAATTTCTTGTTTCGTCTTACTTCATTTACAATTATACTCTTGTACTTCTAACAAGTTAAATTTTGTTGCAAGCACAAGTGTATTATTATCAAGCCTTTCCGGTATAGAGGTGATGTTGTTCCATTTTTTCTCTCAAAATACTCATGAATCAATAATTGTATCGTTTGATCAATATTGTATATATATGACATTTGCTACGTGTGTTATTTGTTTGGATGCAAATTGTTTTGTGGCATTGTAGGTAGACATCAAATGTGGCATTGTATGTGACATTAATTGAAAATCTGTATTTTTGCTTACCTTGAGTCGACCACAACAGGACAGAGGTCGACGCACGCTGTATACTTTTGTATTTGTCAAAAATCAAACAGTATGCGTCGATGCATGCAGAGGTATGGTCGACGCTTCACGCAAAAATTCAGTTTTTCCTTTAAAAATCGTTCCATCTTCCTGAATTATACATCTTTCTCTCATTAATTGTGCATTTACTCACATTTCTAGTAAGTTGCATCTACTCATTCCTAATGTCCCTTGTCTCTTCCACTTCTCCAAAACCCTAATCTCCATCTATAAAAGGGTAATCATCATCACTTCCAAATTACTTCAACAATCTTCTCTAAATCCTTGCTTCCTACCTCTACCAAATCTCCAAATCATCATCCATGGCTTCATTAATCCGTAGAAATACCGGAAAAAGATCAAGGGGTTCATCATCTGTTTCCCTACCCATTACTGTTGTGTCTTTGCTTCCACCATCTTTTGTTGACAACTTCAACAAAGATATTGGCAAGAGATCCGTTGTTAAGCAACATCTATTCTACAAAGCAACGACATAACGCATGCATCTCACTCAAGTCATGGCTTTGCTGGAGTTTTAAGGCTTCGTAAACTTTCTTGAATGTAACACCAAATACAGTGAAGACTTGGTGCGTGTGTTATACACTTGCCTGCATGACAAGTTTCAAGGTCAGGATTTTCACACCACGATCGACACAACACATGTAAATTTGAATTATGATGTGTGGAGTAAATATTTTGATTTAACAGTGGCTGCCGATGAAAATCCTCCTCATGAGGTAACTGATTCTCGCACCGTGCCTGGATATGAATTTAAGAGTGCCTTAAATGATATGCTGAAACGACCTTATCCGGAGCATATTGTAAACAATGATGCTTTTCCCAGAACTGTTACGGCTGGTAAACTACAAACAGGGGAGCGCATTCTTCAATGGATTGTGGCTCGCATCCTGCGGCCAAAGAAAGGAGGTCTGTCTCGAGTTGAACAGGATGAGGTGCATCTTATATACATTTTGAAAAATAGGATTAAAATCAACTGGTCCTATTACATCACCAGTCGAATATTTGCTTTGAGAGACCTGCTCTTGCTTATGGGTCTTTTATTTCAAAGGTTCTCACCACGGCTAACGTCGTGTATCCATAATTTCCATGTGTCTCCATCTCTTCCGACAAAGAATTCAGCACAAAAACTTTTGCCATGATGGGCTACTTTTAGTGTGATGAGCGACGAACCTACAAGTTTGTTCGCAGAGCAAATACTCCTCAGGTTGTTGAAGAACCTGATGGAAGTTCTGAAAGGGAGGACAAAGCACAAGAGGAACAGGTAGAAGAAGACGAAAACGAAGTGGAATAGGTAGAAGAACCAGCATATGAGGCACATGACAATTATCACCAACCAGACCAACATGAGTTCACAAATACTGATTAACTTCCTCACACAGCTCAACCTGAAGAAGAAGAAGAAGGATGCAACAATCAAGGATGGGGTGAGTGGCAGTACACAGGCCGAACCACTCTGGGAAAATATTATAACCCATATCATGGATATCCTCAAGCACATCAATCTCCTCAATCTTCACCATCTCCTCCGCAGTCAGACAACTCTGAACTTCTCAACATGCTGCAGTCCATGCAGTTGGAACAACAAAACTTTATGAGAAATCAAGATGAGCGGATGGAACAAATCCGAACTGAGCTACAAACATAAAATGAACGGTTCAATTCCTTTTCCACAAGGATGGATGTCCATTTTGAGGCTCTCGCTGCATCAAACGAAATCCAGGAAACGGCCATATCTAACAGCCTCAATCGTCTGAATTTGTCTGTGGAACCATTTGTCGACTACTCTGATCCTTACCGCAATCCAGATGTTTGGTTCAGGGGAAGGGGCCGAGGATATTAGATGCATGCTTGCTTATTCTCCTTGTCCATGATGTGTTACTTTTATGTGGTTATGGTTTTTGGAATGTTATGCCCATTTGAGTTTTTCAATATACTTTTTCTATTAATTGCTTTACTCTTTCATTATCAATATTATGTGTGAATATTGGTAAATGATTACTTATTACCTGCTGAGTGTTTTGTTAATTGTTATTCTGTCAACCTTTACCTTTTCCATCTCTTTTTGATGTTGTCAAAGAGGGAGAAAAGCCAAGTAGATCACAACAACTCTTCCACATTATTCTTCCATGAAAGTACAGAATTGCAAAAGAAAGGGGGAGTTTATGCTACTATGTTAATAATATTGCAATGTTGTTCTCACTAGCTTCGCGCAGGTTTTCATCATCAAAAAGGGGGAGTATGTGAGGGCAAACTGTCACACAACATATGTTCTCAAGTTTCGATGATGACAAAGTACAACCTCAGACCAATCGGAGTTGTCAGTTCTACCCAAAAGACAAATGCAATACTTAACATATCATATCCTTCCTATATCTCTTTAACTC